GAGATCAGGGATCACCCTGATCTCTGGGGGCAGCTCATTCCAGAGGGTGGGAGCTCCCACAGAGAAGGCCCTCCCCCTTGGGGTCGCCAGCCGGCACTGTCTGGCCGACGGCACCCTGAGGAGACCCACCCTGTGGGAGCGTACAGGCCGATGGGAGGTAATCTGTGGCAGAAGGCGGTCTCGAAGGTATCCCGGTCCACTGCCATGGAGCACCTTAAAGATGATAGTCAGCACCTTGAAGCGCACCCGGAAGGCCACCGGCAGCCAATGCAGCTCGCAGCAGCAGCGCGGCCGCATTTTGGACTAGCTGGAGCCTCCGGGTGCTCCTCAAGGGAAGCCCCATGTAGAGAGCATTACAGTAGTCCAGTGTTCCAATATCTCAGGGGCTGCCACAAAGAAGAGAGAGTCAAGCTATTTTCCAAAGCACCTGAGGGTAGGACAAGAAGCAACGGGTGGAAACTAAGCAAGGAGAGAAGCAACCTAGAACTAAGGAGAAACTTCCTGACAGTTAGAACAATTCATCAGTGGAACAACCTGCCTCCAGAAGTGGTGAATGCTCCAACACTGGAGGTTTTTAAGAAGAGACTGGACAGCCATTTGTCCGAAATGGTATAGGGTTTCCTGCCTGAGCAGGGGGTTGGACTAGATGACCTCCAAGGTCCCTTCCAACTTTTATTATTATTATTATTACTTTACAGTACATAAACATAATATAGTAGAAACCAAAATTAACCCTTCTGAACAGGGTCGCCTTGGTTCTGCAACATGCTTGACATAGACCAGTATTTCTCAAACTTGGCAACTTTAAGAGATATGGACTTCAATTCCTAGACTAGAGCATGCTGGCTAAGGGAATTCTGAGTGTCCACACGTCTTAAAGCTGCCAGGGTTGAGAAAAACTGGCAAGACAACTTTACTATTGTTAACAGCAAGCGCTCTTCGTGTACCTTAACACAACTTTGGACCGAGCCCACATCTACACAACTTTTTAACCGAGCAAAAGAGGCAGCTCCGGCTTTCCAAAACGCACGATCCCACCAAAACGGGTGCAATAAGCTTTCCCTACCACCCCGCAGCCGATCGCGTGACCCCGCCCACTCAGTGGGAAGCCTCAAACCTGAGGCCCGCCCCAATGTTGCTCTGCGCACGCGCAGGTAGAGCCGGGCCGCCTAGTCTTACACGACCGACCTGATCTTTGTCTGTAGTGCTGTGTTTTTTTCCCCATGCCTGTGCAGCATGGGAAGGAGTGACGCCCAGCTTTTTTTTGGCTTTATCCATTGGGACTCCTCACTTTAGGCTACTGCCTGGAGCGGACAGTGATTTACCGGCGCAGCAACCGTCCGCACGGACCCGTTAGGAGCAGCCTTTCAGAGGCTCGAGGCTGGTCTCTATCCGTGACGTCAGTAAGCACGAGCTAAGCAACCCAAGAACCAGAACCGAACAGAGGTACTTGCCGCGGATCAGACTTCCCATAATCTGGTTGCTGTTCTACTTAAGAGGAGGCGGAGGATTCTGGGAATTGTAGTTCAATTATTGGGGCGCGACGCTAGGAGCGAGAGCGCCTCATATCGGTTCAAGTCGAGTTTTGTTGTTGTTGTTGCCTAGCTTGCTATTTCCTTCTTTTGCTAAACGCCAAGTTAAACAGTTTAGGGCAGGGTTCCTAAACCTTGTATCATGATATCTTCCTTCATTGTAATCTTAATGTGCGCACCTCCTTTAAAAATACAAACACCAAAATGAACACAGGAGAACAAGGAGAACAATACAATGAAACTGCAGGAAAGGTGGATTTATTAAAAATGTAATTAAAAGGTTGCTCAGAGATCCTCTGGACTCAGCTCCGCCCCAAGGGAGGCACACCTCACCGTTTGACAAACCTGGTTTAGGGGATTAGCGTTGGGAAAGGGAGACATGGTGAGTTTATCTTTGCAACTTATTTGTTGCTGTTTAAGCTTCAGTCCTAAAGAGAGAAAAGGAACAAAAGTCATAATTGTAATGGAAACTAAATATTATTTCACAGCAGCGGTAGAAAGTTCTAATTTTGCTGGCCACACTTGTAAATTGTGACTTTTCACAAGTTACAGGTAGTCCTTGACTTACAGCCTTTTGTTTAGTGATTGTTCCAAGTTACAACGGCACTGAAAAAAGAAATTATGAGTGGTTCTCATACATATGACTTATGACTCATACTCATGCAGCATCCCGTGATCATGTGATCAAAATTCGGATCCTTGGCAATTAGCATGGATTTCTGACGGTTGCAGTGTCCTGAGGTCATCACCTTTGGTGACCTTCTGTCAAGAAAGTACCAATTTAACAACTACAATGATTCACTTAGCAACTGTGGCAAGAAAAGTCACAAAAAGGGACAAAACTGACCTTTAACAATTGTCTTGCTTAGCAACGGAAACGTTGGGCTCAGTTGTGGTTGTAAGTGGAGGACTACCTGTATATGCTTTCACCCTGTCAGCTAGACAGAAATGCATCTTAAACTCAGAGGTTCTGTGACTGCCTGGCATAATTAGTATTAATGTTGAACTGTTTGCTTAATTGTGACCTTTATTTTGTTATACTGTATTTGTTCTGGGATTACAAAATAGTTGCATTGTGGATTGATGCTTTTTTTAAAAAAAAGATTCTGATGTGATGTGTTAAGATTACCAGTCTGACCCTTAAAGCTATCATTGACCACTAAAAGGCAGAAATAACAGTTTTTTTGTTTCTCCTACTCAGAAGCCATCTTTCCCTAATGGAAAAAACAATTTTTCTGTATATCCAGAGGAATTAAAAGCATCATCCACAGCCAACGAGGAATGCATTTATGCAATTCTGTCACAGTTTCATTACAAGTGATGTCTGTTTTATTCCAAATTTATTTATTAGAACCATGTTGGTTCTAATATGTTGGGACCCATAATTGGTGAAATGAGATGGGCAAAGATGACCTGTGGCTTTCCTGGTTGAACTGAAGGGTTCCCCAGAGACTCTCTGGTTAAGCCTACCTTCAGTTGTGGAAGCATTCCAAATCCAGATGATTGATACATGGCCATGAAGAGTTGAGATTTTCAGTATTTTTTCAACCCATGATTATTATCAGCTACTAAAGTTTTAGACATCCTCTGAAATATAGAGAGAAGATTTCTGGTTGTAAACTCAGTTATATACTTCCCGGATAATAACATTTGACTCAATGACACAATAGGAAGGCATTTTCTTAGACCCAGCACATCTCTCATCTGATACTGAGGTTTATTTACACTAAAGGATTGTCAAACAGTTTTATTCAATCCTATTTGTAGAATGTGGGCACAACAACAGAGTGTGAACAAAGTAGTTCATTGCAGGATTGTTTTCAAGATACTTTCAGTTCCTGAAGTATGAGAATAAATGGCCCACTACTTACTTTGACAGAGTGCTTTTTAAAATATTTTAAATGATAATAAAAAACATAAGCAGGAATTATCTATGATATCTTTGGGCTGAGAAGTAGGGAGGAAAAATGCTGTTGCAGTGTTTAACCAAACACCCATGATTTTTCTCTTTACTCTGGATTACTGTATATTAACTTTCATCCTACAGAAGAAAGGTCAAAAATATCACGACATCAAATCTCCAGGTAATATAGTTGGAATTTTATTTTCATTTTTGCCATCAATACAAAATATTTGTAAAATGTGTAAAAGTAATTCTGAGAGTAATAATTGTGTTCACAAAACAAAATAATTGCCTGCAATGATTCCCTTATTTTGTATCACCATTTGCCTTTTTATTTCATTTTAGATGCTCTTAGCTGAGCCACCATCTACCTGCCTTTCCTCTACAGTGTACTATATGGTTTGTGAAGCTGGATTTGAGAGGAAATCAAACTATGCTCTCAGTAGTATTATATGCAGCACCGGTGAAATAAATTGGGAATTCATCACAGAACATGTACAATATGGAGAGCAAGGTCTCTGTTGTTTTTAAATGTAGTGTATTGTTATACTTGGGACAGTAAGACATTGTTTCTGAATTAGCATATGCAATGGAGATCTTTTACTTGTTTAGGGGGATCTTTTTATTAAAAATAATAGAATTAGAATTTCTAATGTTAGTTATTTAGCTTCAATGGCTGAATGGTCATTATTTAAGATTTTCTACAGAAAAAGAAAATTCCTTAATGAGTTTAGGGGAACCCTTTCAGGAGAAAATATTTTTGAATCTTTTTATATTTAGCAGTATTTGACAGTATTCTTGAACTGATTGGTTATTTTTGTTTTTTAGACCCAACATTGGATTATATCAAAAGTGTGAGATGTCTTGGTCCTTTATGTGAATCTATTCACTTGCATTTGAAATCACTTACAGCGGAGCAATTTGAAAACCAGTTTGTGGTGTGGCTTCAATGGACAAACTGCCCAGAGGTAGGAAAACGTTGGATTGGATTGGATACTTGTTCCAAATTTATGGATGGATGGATGGATACATACACATATGATATACATATACACACATTTTTAGCATATGGCATATCATGCATGAACTTGCAATATATATTAATATTTTGCCTGGATTAAAAAACACAATAAAATATTAATATTAAAAAGAGCCATATTCACACATACTAAAATAGG